AAACCATTTAAAAATAGTGGACAAATAGTGGACATAGTTTTTCACGTGATATTTTTAAGTTATTTTTAATTCTTTGGCTAAATCATTATTATTTAATAAATTCTATTTAAAGTAATTAATATATCAAGATAATTATAATGTAGCAACATTTTATACAACGAAATCAGTATTAAAATTTGATTTTTATTATTGATGTTTACTAAAATTTTGCTAAAAATTGGTTTGTTTTTAAAAATCTATTAATAATTTTACACTTTTATATTGATTTAGTAAATATAAAAATAGTGGACACTTGAAATATGCAGAATATAATTACAGATAATATTTATTACTGCAACATAAAAATATAAACTTAAAAATATAATCTATGTGTCCACTATATTCAAATGAAAACACTTCAAATAATAATGTAATGGCTTTATAATAGTTACTTTTTAGAATATTTAATAAATTCATTGCCATATTTTAAAATAACAAATCATTTGTCAAAATTTAATGAATAATTTGCACTATTTTAAACAAAATTTTAATAATTTGTCAAAAATTAAATAGTGGACATGCCTATGTCCACTATTTGATCTTTAATTCTAAGTGGACAGGTTCATGAAATAGTGGATTGTCCACTTGAATAGTGGACAGTTGGCAACCCTACCTATAGTTATTGACGTCAGTCTGAGAAATAGCTCTTAAATAGTCGTTATTTTCGATTTGAAAGTCAATGAATTGCATAACAATCACGTGATTGTGCGGCACATCTACTGTCCACTCGCACAACATATTACCATAATATGCTATGGGATACCCGGGGCTATGGATATACCCCTCGGTATCATTTAATTTCAGACCACATCCTGTAACAAATATTAAAACAATAAATGTACATAAAACAGTGTAAATTGCCTATAAGTTTAATGTATCATTTAAAATAATAATTCATTTTACCAACCATAATTTGTTGCCTCATACTCGATGTTAATCGGATCGTAATCATTTGAATTATATCCACTAACTATAATTAGCACTCGATTAGTCGATGATATCTTGGTAACAATCTCATTATTGTACAATGTTGCTGAATGAAGCAACAGGTTATCGTTTTTTGAATGACCATCGTATATCATAACGTATGTCTCTAAGTATATAACATTACTCCCGACATATGTGATATGCTTACGAAATGTCACCATAATGCTCATATTTGCCGCCACCGTAATATACCAATAGCGTGGAAATGTTATAGTTTTATTTTGCTCATTAGAGAACACGGTTATATTACCGAAATCATTAGTTACTCTTTCGATGCGGGCTTTAGCTATAAATAATTTATACCGTATATAATTATGTAACTTTATATATTAGTTATATATTTACAGTTATATATAGACTTGCCAGATAAATTCTATACGAAAATGGATTTTCATTATAAAACAAGTTAGAAAACTGGACAAAAACTGGACACATATTTTTCGAAATAATTTTTACATTTTATTTATATTTTTGAGAGAATTTCACAGATTTCACTAGATTTTCATTAGTTTTAACATAATTTTTAAAATCAATACAATTCATGTTAAAATTATTTTTAATACAAAGGATGAAGTTTAATGTTAATGGGTGCTGGGCCAAAAATTTTATTTTAAAAATTTTTAATTTTTTTAAATTTACGAAATTAATTATCATTGTAAGCATAATTAAATTTAATATAACTGATGTTCGGTAATTACGTTATTCACTATAAAAAACGTACATAACTGATACTAAATTTCTTAATTTTGATATAACTTTTTCCCATTATGTCGGATCTGAGAAATTCCTTCGGATTTCGATTCTACTCATCCATACCTTTCCATTGATATATAATATGACATGGTTAGTTATAAAATAAAAGATTTGATTTTCAAAATTTTACCGATAAAAGTGGTCACTACGGCCAGACCCGAAAGAATCAGGGCGTATGAAGTATATCACTCGATTACCTATTGAGTGTACTTTCATTTTATAACAATAACTCCCGGGTCCCCGCTATCCCACAAATGGGNCTACGGCCAGACCCGAAAGAATCAGGGCGTATGAAGTATATCACTCGATTACCTATTGAGTGTACTTTCATTTTATAACAATAACTCCCGGGTCCCCGCTATCCCACAAATGGGCATCATCTTTTCAAACCACTTACATAGGCTTTATAACGTTATAATTTCAGTGAATTGCATTACTCATGTGATAAACCAATTTTCAATGCATTCAGCCCTATGTAAGTGGTTTGAAATTTGGCCATAACTTCGGTGTTTGTGGCCATTGGCAGATTTTGACTTCAGAATACACATCTACTAAGTGTACTGAACACGACCATATCAATCCCGTCGGAATTCGGTTAGCTCCGTAGGCCACCTTCCCAACTCAGTGTAAATTTAGCCCTTACTAGGTCTAAACACTTATTATAACAGTATATGAATACATGTCTCCAATGAAAGCATATTTCAAACAATCAAATAACAAACAAATTAACAACAAATACATATTGAATGCCAACAAAATTGGTTACAATAAAAATATTTAATATTCAAACAAAACTTTTAATTTAATTGTAACAAACATTAGACACGAATTGGAAAAAATTCAAATCAAATTCCTATGACTTTCAACACTAGAAGTTAAGGGAAATTAAAAAAAGTTTCTAATACTCAACTCAGTATAGAGATGTCGGTAAAAACAGGGCTATTATAGCAACAATAACAACAGTAACACTGATATTATTATACACAATAAACGTTTAGACAAACATGGCCGACAGGGGGACTGAATGGGGGGTTTGAATGATAGGCATTAGTTACTAATAACACTAGTAATCAGACAGATGTCGCCCAAGTTTTGTCTAAACGTTTATTATGTTTAATAATATTGCGATAGCGTATTATTGACACACATTTTTACCATCAGTGAATTTGCCTGTGATTCGTTCAAATGCAATGTTTATATTGTCAGATAAACTACAATATAAGTGGTATTTAAATATCCATTCAGTTATTGTTTTCATGACATTTTGGATGCAATAATATAGCGCTTAAAATACATTCACTTTTCACTACACTTTCCGCTAATTATTTGCAATGAAAACAATTTTGTTTCATATGTTTTGCCATTGAATGCCATTTTAATCACGCATTCAATGAATTCAATCGTCAATTAATTAATTATAAATTACTTTTTATAACTCTTTATATATTTAATAATGTGTTTGAGTTTTGTGTCACAAATGTATTGATGTCTTGAATCGGAGGACGAGAAGAGGTGCTGAGGAAAGCGCCTGAAGACGTGAAGACATGAATAGATTTAATAATAAACTTAAATATATTTTAATATTCGTTATAATAATTGTGTTTTTGTTATACAAATGTTCACTCAATTCAACCGATTATCACATCTCAACGATACCGGCGATTACCGACCGCTTCAGAGGCGGACACATAGAGGACACACGTATGGACACAAACATAACTGCACTCAACAACCAGTCGGATGTCAGACAATACCGGATCTTATTGTGGACTAAATACTTCCAATCGGACGAGTGGTTACATCTGGACCTCAAGTCAATGGGTTGTCAATTCTCTAATTGTCTTTTCAGTGAAGACCGATCTCTTGTGGTGTCGGCCGACGCCGTTTTCTTCCACTGGCGGGACACCAGTCCATGGGATTTGCCCGCAAAGAGTCCGTCGGCTGCGGCCAGAGGTCAGAAGTGGGTGCTCTACAACTGGGAACCGCCGCAATACGCGCCAGCCTTTCGGGTGCGCCCTTTGGCCGAACACATCGATTGGGTTATGAGTTATAGACGCGATTCAGACATTTACGTGCCGTACGGGTCGGTCACAAAATGTGATACAAAGTGGCAAAACGAGAATCTCTTCGACAACAAGAGCGGTTCCGTGGCGTGGATTGTGTCCAACTGTCAGTCACCGGGAAATCGCGAGACGTATGTCAACGATCTTCGCAAACACATCGATATCGATATCTACGGAATGTGTGGTCAACACGACTGCCCGCGAGACGGCACTTGTCTTTCGGCGATCGTTAAGAAATACAAGTTTTACCTTTCATTCGAGAATTCGGTTCACTATTTGCTTCACTTTTGATATCATTTTTTGTTAAATTATTGATAATTTTGTTTTTTTTGTTTAACAGTTATGTAAAGACTATGTGACAGAAAAGTTGTTTAAAATCATTTCATACGATATAATTCCTGTGAGTTAATTGTGGTTTTGTTTATATATTGTATTAATTGTTGGATCAATGCATTTGATTGACAGGTAGTGTACGGTTCGGCCGACTATTCGCTAATAATGCCAAACAATTCGTTCATAAATGTAAAAGACTTTAACACTACTGAGGATTTGGCCAAATATCTCAAACTGGTCTCAAGTGATAAGCAAATGGCTAAACATATCGATTGGGTTATGAGTTATAGACGCGATTCAGACATTTACGTGCCGTACGGGTCGGTCACCAAATGTGATACAAAGTGGCAAAACGAGGATCTCTTTGACAACAAGAGCGGTTCTGTGGCGTGGATTGTGTCCAATTGTCACACTTCTGGCAATCGCGAGACGTATGTCAACGATCTTCGCAAACACATCGATATCGATATCTTCGGAATGTGTGGTCAATACAACTGCCCGCGAGACGGCACTTGTCTTTCGGCTATCGTTAAGAAATACAAGTTTTACCTTTCATTCGAGAATTCGGTTCACTTTTTGCTTCACTTTTGATATCATTTTTTGTTAAATTATTGATAATTTTGTTTTTTTTGTTTAACAGTTATGTAAAGACTATGTGACAGAAAAGTTATTTAATATGGTTCAATACGATATAATACCTGTGAGTTTGTTTATATACAGTATATATATTGTCATTAATTATTGGATCAATTGATTTGAATGAAAGGTAGTGTACGGTTCAGCCGATTATTCGCTAATAATGCCAAACAATTCGTTTATAAATGTAAAAGACTTTAACACTACTGAGGATTTGGCCAAATATCTTAAATTAGTCTCAAGTGATAAGCAATTATACAATTCGTATATGTTATGGAAGAATAGTTATTGTCCACAAATGACTCATTCCAAGTATTTCTGCCATTTGTGCCACAAATTGAATGAAGACAGCGCTCGGAAGCCGACCAACCGGTGGAACCGTAAGGATGTGGTCGAGTGGTTCATCGATGGCGCCGATTGCCGTCGACCCACGTTTAACTCAAACAGTAGTCTTCGTCCCATTGTTTTTTGCTCAATGATTGTCAAGTGTATAGCGTGTGTATTATATACAGCCCTATTCCCGTTACGAAAGTTATATATTTAATTATAATGATCACTAAATATCACTGAAATCCAAAAATCTATTAAATTAAAAAGATTATTTACAAATAAAATTATTTATGAAATTACAAATATTGGTTAATTAAAATGGCTGTAAAAAGTTAAACTCTAATTATTCCTCTGAAGTTTGCATTACTTATCGAAAAGAAAATATTTATGTTTATGTGTAAAAATGTTATTATTAGAGCTCGAAATATTCGGGAATAAAAACATCCAAAATCGGTCGGGAACCGGGAATAAAATCGTCAAATTCGGGAAAATTCGGGAATTAACTTTTATTCAATTCAAACACAATAATTATACATTAGAATCATTTAAAAATGTCACATCACTTTCCATAGAGGTATATTTGATTGAATTAAAGCTTTTGTCAAACGTAATGTATAGTAATCTTCACGTGAATTGTTGTCTACGGCTTTGTTGAGAGATTCTGATAGCAAGAACACAAATGAAATGTAAAACTGAAATGATATGAATGGTCACATGTTGTGAGTTTAGAGTTCATATAATCCCTTTATCACATGTTATTTGAACAGGTTTTGGTATTCAGTTGGCATTTTATTGCGATTTTTGGTGAAAACTTATAAAATAAATATATTTATTATTAAGAAATTTGTTTTCGAGATTATTTATAGTAAAATTTGTCAAAATCGGGAATTTTCTCAAAATATGTCAAAATCGGGAATTTTCTCAAAATATGCCAAAATCGGGAATATTCGGGAAAATAAAAGTGGTTTATTTTTACTCTATTATTACTTCTAAGACTAACTGGACGTTATTCCCGATGATTTGATTATCTAATGTTATTCGGGAATTCCCGAATTTTTCGAGCTCTAGTTATTATATAAGTCATAGAATATGGTCATATAGATGCCGTATTTTCGATGGGGTGAGGTAAAAAAGGAGGTCCGGGAGGGGTGGGCCCAGAGGGCATTTGTAGTGCTATTAGTGCTGATAATAAAAATACATGTGTTGGTCATCCAAACCTTAAACCTTAATATTCATGCCTTTAAAAAACATAATTTTTATGATATCCTGTAGGATACCATGTAATCAATTGTGAAACAAAGTCTAAACCTAGTATGGGCGCAATAAAAAAATGCATTATAACCAGTCATTTTTTACATTGAAATTTACACTGAGTTGGGAAGGTGGCCTACGGAGCTAACCGAATTCCGACGGGATTGATATGGTCGTGTTCAGTACACTTAGTAGATGTGTATTCTGAAGTCAAAATCTGCCAATGGCCACAAACACCGAAGTTATGGCCAAAGAATAAAGTTTAATGTTAATGGGTGCTGGGCCAAAAATTTTATTTTAAAATTTTTTAATTTTTTTAAATTTACGAAATTAACTATAATTGTAAGCATAATTAAATTTAATATAACTGATGTTCGGTAATTACGTTATTCACTATAAAAAATGTACATAACTGATACTAAATTTCTTAATTTTGATATAGCTTTTTCCGATTATGTCGGATTTGAGAAATTCCTTCGGATTTCGATTCTACTCATCCATACCTTTCCATTGATATATAATATGACATGGTTAGCTATAAAATAAAAGATTTGATTTTCAAAATTTTACCGATAAAAGTGGTCACTACGGCCAGACCCGAAAGAATCAGGGCGTATGAAGTATATCACTCGATTACCTATTGAGTGTACTTTCATTTTATAACAATAACTCCCGGGTCCCCGCTATCCCACAAATGGGCATCATCTTTTCAGACTTAATTAAATCTATACTCATTCGACTTCTATCGTCAGTCCATATGCGACGCATATGACTAAAAATGCGTTCAACAAAATCATTCCCAATAGGAATAGCCATTATTGTTTGGACAATAATTAATAAGTTTTTATATTCAATATTATTTAATAGTTTACAATATTTTGAGACAGTGTTTTGAGATTGTTTTTCATTAATATCCAACTTATTTAACGCTAAATTAAACGAATGAATTTCATCAAAAATCATATTGACATCGATTTCAATATTTAATATCTTTTTAATTTCTAATATTTTGTCATATTCTAAGTCTTTATCTAAATTTAAAGATGAAAACAGTATAAAAGGAGAACATTTAAAATCAAAATTATCATTTAAATAATTAATTGCTCTTTTGTAAGTATTTTTGGCATTTAATACAAACTCTTTTCGCTGTTCACTATTCAATAATACAATCTTATCCTTAATAATTGATCCGTAAAATTCATGTTTTAATCGATTTTCTAATTGACATTTTAGTTTAAATAAAATATCGTAAATATTTGTAGCATTTGTTATGTTTTGCTCAAGAGTTTTAATTGCCATATAAAATAAATTCATAAAATGCTCTGAAAAATGCAAATACATTTCAGGAAGAGATATATTATTTGGTGTTTCAGACCAAATAAATTCCTCAATAATTGGCGGGCAATCAGTAGATCCTAACCCTATAAAATATTGTTTAATTGGTAAAATATTGTCAATTAATCTAGTGATTGCGGGATATAAACTTAACCAACGTGTGGGCACATGTCGTCGCACAGATTCAAATTCATTGTCAGTGAATTCATAACAAGATTTTAGAGACACAATACGTTTAGCGGATGAGGAAAAATGAGAATAGATTTTTAAAATAAGGTTTTCGATATCAAATGGCAATACAATTAGAGCATGTTTTGAGGTATTGTGTAATACATGACAGTTACAATTAGCCTTAACAATATATTCATTTGTATGTTTTAATTGACTGTAAACTGAATGGTGTTTACCATAGTTAACGGAAGCGTTGTCACCAGAGTAGGCAATAATATTATTAATGTTAATATTATTATCAGTTAAACATTTAATTATTTTATTATGAATTGCAGTTGAAGTCTCATCAGGGTCTTCATAGAAATCGAGGACAAAATTCACAATTCCATCATTTAGATCAAAGTATTGAATTGATAGTGGAAAGAGTTTGATGTTTCCTTTATTGGAAGCATCACTACCAATGGAAAACTTTTTATCATTAATTTTGTTTAAATGTTTTGATATTGAAAGCGGGCACAGAATATTCTTTGCAATGGCCTCCATTTTGGTTCGGCCGCACTGCACACCACCACAGATCTTTGAATCATGAAATAATTCTTTCATAAGTTTGTTATTACAATCCGTTGAATTATAACTGATGTGATGAATGACCGAGTGGTACGTTAGACACAATTCAGAGATTGCAATATCATTGGCTTCATGTGATGATGTTTTGATGAGAAAATTATTTAAAGTAGAGCTCAATTTAATTGACTTTAATTTTGACTTATGACTATCGGTAGTGTTGTGGTCATTAAGTTTTTTATGCCTTCATGTTGCACTTGTAAATCTCTCATACAATAATTACAAAATGCTGTGTATTCGTCTTTTTTTGTCAACCATTGCTTAAAATCATTGTTTTCAAGCCATTTATCTTGAAATTTAGTCCAACGCTTTCTTTTCCTATCCGGCGATTTGTATTTTGCAGACATTGTTAGGACATTATAATAACAGTTGACACTAATCACAGTTCACACATTAAACCATAACAATTAATTTATAATGTATTTGATTATCTCTTTTGAGTGGCTTTTATTGTCAACCAATACCAAACATACACTATATTTATAAAAATTAATATTTAATTCATATTATATCTGTATTTTTTTATTCATACTCACATTATCAGGTCATTGCTATTAATTGTTGTTTATCTGATGATTAATTTGTTGCTATAATATATGATTAATTACTATTAATAATTTTATAAGTATTTAAACTCTTAACAATGCAATCAAATAGTAAACATAAACCACATGTTTTCCCAAAACATTGTATTTTATTAACAAAATATTTTGGGATAAATCTACAGTATATGTAACATTTAATTGTCTATAACTTTTTTGGTATAATTGGACTAATAGTAATTATTTTCGTTTATGTTATGCTTACTGTCGCTAATAACATATTTGTTGTTTCATACATAACAAATGTTGCAAAATATATATTGAAAATATAGTAAACCCCCTATATTTGTCTTACAATATTTAAATTCCAATAACGGGACACTTCAATGTCAAGTTTTAGGACAGAACTGGACACGGGACAGCGACCATCAAAACTGGACAATCCAGTCCAGAACTGGACGTATGGCAAGCTTAGTTATATATGTACTTATATATCATTATTTAATGAGTGGGGTTAATTTTAATTAAACTAATAGCTTATGTATTTTATATAATAATCATTGATTATTAATAACGAGTTTTATTTTTTGGCACATAGTGTTTGTGGAACGTTATACTAAAAAACACAATCCTATAAAACTATAATGCATTGCTTACTGTATCTAAAGTTAATTCCACGATCATGTTGATTAAAACCAACCTTGCTCGCAACATATCTGACCAGCATATTGTTATAGGACGATATTACGTCATGATCATTGCGATAATATGGCTTATTAATTAGTGATATGTTAACCAATATATCACACGTATCGTTAGCCCCATTGTATATAATTAGCACATCCGACGTATTTTTGGTTCTTATAAAAATGGAGTTCACAATAATGACCATGTCGTGCGGCACCTGGATGTTCCAGTAACACTCCTGGTTGTTTAGTGTAGTGTTAGGTGTGAATTGCACATTAATTCTGTCGCCATCGCCGGTAAGTGTTTGATTACACTCTTTTATAATGCATTAAATTATTACAAGAATATTAATTATTTCAAGTAAATGATCAAGTGAGTTGTCTTGTTAAATTATATCCATTTAATTAATTTAATTGTTGTAGTTAAATAAAATTTTTAATTAATATTGCACTTACCGGTTACAGTACATAAAATTCTGGAAAAATTGATAATGTATATTATTATTATAGCTGGTATTAAATAATTAACATTTATCATTTTCAAATCAAACCAATAGTAGTATCATAATAATGGTAATTTACTAAATATAGTAAAATTTATTTGTTGTATTTATTTTTATTTGCAATATATTTAATTATTAATAACTAAAATAATAATTAGTGTGTCTGGTATATCAGCAATTTTATAATTTACAAATAGAGTAAACAAATAAAATTGTTTATAAAATTAACTTGTTTTATCACTAAAAATTAAGATATAAAATGCTTTAAATGATTAAAATATGAGTAAATTGATATAATAGTGAATTATTATTTGTGATTTAGAATAAAATATACTATTTCCTATTAAATAACATGTTTGTTTGTTAGTACAGTCAAATACCTATCCTGTCGACTATCTATGCTATCAACTACTCTTTGTTATCAACCAAATCCCAAATACCCAACACATAGACCTAATGTTAAAATTATCTCTATGTTGTCAACTAATCTAAGTTATCAACCAAATTCCAAGAACCATTCTGTTGACAGCATCGATAGTTGACTGTAATCTTTGTACAGTAGTGTTGACAAATGTAGGCAAATGTTTTAACTATATTTGTATTTTATTAAATTAAATGTTTAATTTATTAATATAATTTAAAATTTTAATAAAATAATTAGTTCTAAATTAGGGAATCAATTTAACAACTGACTAAAATTTAAGTCATAAATTAAAATTAAATTAGAAATAAGGTTATAAAAATATTTTTATAAATAATTTAACAATTAGTATTAATTTCTGTGTTTTCATTGGTCAACAAAGTCTGGTATGAATTACTGTTTTCATTGTCGTCGATGTCTCGCAAAGCAATTCCTGGATTTTGTCTCAAATCCGGTGTATTTCTCATAAGATCTCGTTTTAATCTAATAATTATAAATTAATTAAAAAGTATTATTAAATCTTAATTAAAATCATACCTCAAAACATACGCAAACGTTAGGATTAATGACCCGAACAATAGTATTGCAAACATTATTAAAACTATTAAAAATATTTCTATTCTATTGTAACTTGTTAGAATATCAGTAACAGTAATATCAGTAATGTTATTGTTATTATTAGTAGAATGTTCAATATGGTTTGTATCAGTATTACTTGTCAGACATCTATACGCCTGCCTATTGTTTCCACCACTGGGTAAACACAATTGTGAGCACTTTGATTGGTCGCATGAGTTGTCGACTAACCCGGTGTTAGTTCGTTGTGAAAGGTCTACAATTTTGAGTGTGTTAAATGATTGCCAATTAATATTTATAGCTGTAACTGAAGCTAAAAATTTTTGATCTTGTTTTGAAACGTTATGTGTATATATTTTGTAGATCACATGTGCCCTCTCTATACCCAACTGTATGTCCGGCACTCGAAGTATAAGCATTTCGTGAGCAAAATACAGATCATTGCCAAAGACCTGAAGACTGGATACGATTGGATCAAAGAGTTTCCGGGATTTCATAATAAACGTCTCGTTTTTGCCCCAAAAGTCTATGGAATACAGCGAATGGTCGGTCCTATCGATGAAATAGTATTGTTTTGATCCGTAATTTACCGTCAAATGCATGGCGTGTCGGCCCGAGTCGTACACAACTGTGCGGTTACTGCCATCCAAATGGGTTTGCACTATATTCACCTCAAAACCAATGTTAGACCAAACCAGAGCACCGGTCACTATGTTTAACACCAAGTCTCTGGACATTTCAGTGTCCGTGTAATAAATAGTGTAAATTGAATTTGGATCCGAAAAACGCAATACTTTAATAGTCCGGTCCTTACTGTCCAACCAATACAGTAAGTCATGAATCCAATCGATGGCCAAACTATTGGGCTCTCCATCGCCCACATCTATCCCAAGCCTATTATTACCAAACTTTGCGATGAATTGTCTTTTCTTGGGATCAAACCAAACAACCCGTTCCCCGACTGAATCGCAATCCATTAGTTTTGACACATGATTGCTATTCATTGTCATTATTTTTACTTTATTTGAATTAGCCCTCAGTATTGCACTATCCGTAGCCATAATAGTGGTAATCCCTGGATCTGATTAATTATTGTATACAAACAATGTGTGAGTTACAAAAAATGATTAATATCATACATGGTTAAAGTAGTAATAACAAATTATTAACCAAGTGATACGGCTTTGTAGGCAATTTTAAAACCCCGGTCAGTAATAAAGCCATTTGAATTAAATGACAATTTTATCGTATTTCCAATTGACATAAGATTTGGTGGGTTTTTATGACCACTATATCTATAGGTTTCTGATTTATAATTAATATCAATATTTAAATAGTCGTCGTTTTCAGTCTGAAAGTCAATAAATTGTACAATAATTTCGTGATTCTGTAGCGCCTGTATTTTCCACTCGCACTTTATGTTAGAATAGTATGATATGGGATACCCGGGGCTATGGATATATCCATGGGTATCATTTAATACCAGACCACAGCCTATTAAAAATATTTTAATAAAATAGCATGGTAATTAAACCCTTCAATGCCATACCATAATTTACAGCCCGATACTCAACAATAATATCAGATTGAGGGTAGTGTAGTTTCCGATAACTAACAAGCTCAAATAACAGGTGATTAGTCGATGATATTATATTGTTAGCTATATTGAAATCATAGTTTGGCAAAATGACCAATCGTCTATCCAATTTTGAATGACCATCGTATACATTCATCATAGTGACATCAACATTGGAATCACTAAATTTGAACATGATGGCCATATTCGGCGACACAGTTAAATACCAAGAGCATGGATATGTATCAAAATCGCCCCAAATGGTTATGTTACCTGCATCGTTAGTTAGATTTTTTATGCAGCCTCCAGCTATGTTAAATGAGCATAATTCAATTTGAGTTAAAAGGTATGAATATCATTTAATTATTACTTACTATAATTCTGAGCTGAATATTGCATTAAAATACGACCCGGCTCGTCACTTAAGCTGTGATTGTGCAAAATATATTTGACAAACATAGTGTTTCCAGATGACAAAAACTCGAGGTAAGGATTCAGTGCTGAATATTCCGGTATATTATATAAACGCCGCAGCACTGGATACGTATCGTTGGGGCCGTTGTAAATAATTAACTCGGTCGAATTTAAATTAACTGATATGTCCGTAATTTTGAACAAGATAACCCTGTGCGTGGGCACCTGGATGCTCCATTCACATTCTTGGTTGTTGTTGGTATTGTTGGGCCAAAACAACACATCAATACTGTCAACATCATTGGTGAGCGTTTTATTGCACTCTTATTTTGTTGAATAATTAAATAATAATTAATTATTTTTGTATTAAATTTATATTATTTTTTTAATTGTATTGATGTTGCTAAAAGCCTTTATTATTATAGCTAATACATAATATTTATATATTGAATAATTAAAACATAAAAACTAGTAGTAGTTATAATTTGATTATCAATACTTACCAGTTATGATACATTGTATGTGGGATAAGTTGCAAGCACTTATTAGTAAAATAATTTTTAATAAATAATTCACAGTCATTGAATCCAATAATAGTATTATGAAGGATTGTATAAATTGAAAAATACACTTATTTTGATATTATAATTATTACGAATAATAAGTCAGACATTTATAATTTATTACAAAATATAAAAATATATTAGATTGTTAACAAAAATTATTTATTAAATCATATCTCTGTGTACAGTATTTATCGCATAACTGAAGGTTTGTTTAATTTACTAGAGGGCTATTAAATAGTATTTAGATATAAATTATGTCGATAAAGTAACGTGTAATCAATTGGAGTGTACCAGAAGGCTAGTTAAGGCTATATTTATTTATTAAAAATCTAATATATTGTATTAGTATATCAAGTTTACAATTTGATTTACAATTTAACAATTAGTAATATTATCCGTGTTTTCATTGGTCAACAAAGTCTGGTATGAATTACTGTTTTCATTGTCGTCAATGTCTCGCAAAGCAATTCCTGGATTTAGTCTCAAATCCGGTGTATTTTTTATGAGATCTCGTTTTAATCTAATAATTATAAAGCAATTAAAACTATTATTTATCTCAATTAAAACTTACCTTAAAATATATGCAAACGATAGGATTAATGACACGAACAATATTAACATAAACACCAATATTAATATTAAAAATATTTCCATTCTGTTGTAACTTGTTAAATTATCGGTATTATTATTATTAAATTTAGTAGACTGTTCAATAGGGTTTGCACCATCATTAATTGTCAGACATCTATACGCCTGTCTATTGTTCCCACCACTGGGTAAACACAGTTGTGAGCACTTTGATTGGTCGCAGGGGTTGTCGACTGAACCGGTGTTAGGCTGTTGTAATGGGTCGCCAATTTTAAACGTGTTAAATAATATTCGATTAACTTCTATTGTGTTTGCAATTAAAAATTTATTTAAATCTGGATTATGAGCTCTATGTATTTTATGGACTACTTGTGCCCTCTCTATCCCCAACTGTATGTCCGGCACTCGTAAGAGGAAAAACTCGTGATTGAAATACAGATCATTACCAAAAACCTGAAGACTGGATACGATTGGGTCGAAGAGTGTCACAGATTTCATAATAAACGTCTCGTTTTTGCCCCAAAAGTCTATGGAATACAGCGAATGGTCGGTCCTATCGATGAAATAGTATTGTTTTGATCCGTAATCTACTGTCAAATGCATGGCGTGTCGGCCCGAGTCATACACTAATGTGCGGTTACTGCCATCCAAATGGGTTTGCATTATATTGGCCTCAAAACCAATGTTAGACCAAACCAGAGCACCGGTTATTAAGTTTAACACCAGATCTCTAGGTGTTTCAGTACCCGTGTTGTGAATTGTGTACAACGAATGTGGATCTGAAAAACTTAAAACTTTAATCGCCCGGTGCTTAGTGTCCAACCAATACAGTAAGTCATGGATCCAATCGATGGCCAAACTGTTGGGCTCTCCATCGCCCACATCTATCTCATGCTTATTAGTGGCCGACTGTGCGATAAATTTGCGTTTCTTGGGATCAAACCATACGAACCGATCTCTGATTGAGTCGTAATCCAATAGACCTGACATCCGGTCCCCATTCATAGCAACTATAGAGGTATCATTTGATGTATACCTTAGAATTGCATTATCAGCTGAAATTATCATGTCAATACCAGGATCTAATAGTCAAGGTGAATTCCATTTGACATAAATTAAAGTTTTATTAAATGCTTAATCACGGTAATAATCATGATCTACAAACCCAATGTAATCGCTTTGTAAGCAATTTTGAAGCCCCGGGCAGTGGTCCTATCGTCTGACTCGAATAGCACATCCATTAGTCCATAAGTCGAGTCAATTGTATTCCCAATCGTCAGCAGATTTGATGGTTTCGTACGACCACTTCGGGCCCAATAATGATATGGCTTTGTGTCAGACATACACCTCATTGTCAAGTAATCACTTTTCTCAGTCTCAAACTCAATGAATTGTACGGCAATCGCGTGGTTATGTGGCACCCGTACTGTCCACCCGCACTGTATGTTATTATAATATGCTATGGGATACCCGGGGCTATAGATATACCCCTCCATATTATTTAATACCAGACCACAGCCTATTACAAACATTTTAATAATATTACAGCGTGATTGGTTGTCATGTTAAAAAGTAAAATTGTTTGCATTTAACAAGTGCTGAACCTATTTTCATAAAATATATATTGTTTAACGAAATAAAAGTAGGCAATTTAATGCCCGCCATAAAACTACCTATCACTTATATATTAAATAGAATAAGCTACTCAATTATTTTATGGTCTCATAATATAAATAAACATATTTCATGACATAATATAATATTTTACCAACCGTGATTTACAGTCTCATACTCAACATAAATATCTGGACGGTTGATATCTCTATTGTTTGACGGAAATTCATAGAATTTGATTAGCACTCGATTAGTCGTTGATATCTTGGTGAAAATCTTCCTGTGGCTATTAAATTCGTTGACCAATAATTTATCGTTTAAAGAATGACCATCGTATATATCCATCATTGTATTTTGCTTTCCATTACTATGATATTTAAGCATCACGCTCATATTTGTCGCCACCGTAATATACCAATAGCATGGATATAACCTTAATTCATTTCGTTTACCACTGCGCGAGGATATATTTCCGAAATTTGTAGTTAGATGTTCAACGCGCGCTATTTCTATAAATAATTCATATTTTAAATTAACATATTTGATTTGGGTTAAACTGATTATTAATCTACAGTACATATTACGAAAATATATTGCTTGTTAAACACAATTCGTATTGGTAACTCAAGTTCACTTATTGAGATAAACATAGTTATTACAATTATAGTTTTAATATGTTCTTACTATATTTTATGTAAATGTGACGACGATACTGATCTAAATTGACCTCGCTCGAGGTAGTGTATTTGATGAACATTTTGTTTTTGGACGATATAAGCTCCATATACGGACGATAACCATGCCAATTAATTTGTGATATATTAACCAATCTCCCTAATACTAGGTATGTTTCATTGGCCCCATTGTAAATAATAAACTCATCTGAGCTATAATTGGTTGATAAGAACATAACATCCAGAACAATTGCCAAGTCGTCGGGCACCTGGATGTTCCAGTAACAGTCTAGGTGGTTTAGTGTAGTATTAGGCGTGAATTTCACATCAATATTGTCGCCATTGCTTGTAAGTGTTTGATTGCACTCTTTTATAATGCATTAAATAATTAAAATAATATTAAATTTCAAGTATTGATACATGATCGATCAAATGTGTTGTATTGTTAAATTATATCCAGTTAAATAATTAAATTTTTTATAGCTAAATATAATTTTAGATTAATATTGTACTAACCGGTTACAGTGCATAAAATGCTGGAAAAATTGGTAATGTATATTATTATTATAGCTGATATTAAATAATTAGCGTTTATCATTTTTATACCAATTATAGTACTACACTAGTAATTTAATAATCCAACTAAAACTTTTTTGTGTTTATTTATAGTATACAATTGGTGTATTTAATTATTATTAACTAAATTAATAACTAGTTTGCCGGGCAACAATTTTATTGTTTACAAATATATTTTTATTCTAAAATATGACATGCACTACGGACATATAATTCGTATATCATACATTTACAACTAATTATTTATAATTTAGAGCAGGACGTCCCAAAAGTTGAATAAAAGTTAGGCTTTTCCTATATGCTCCCATAGACAATACATTACAATTTACCCTCACATTACCCTCATTTACCCGCACTGGGAAACGTTGATTTAGAGTAAACAAATAAAGTGTTTATAAAACTAACTTGTTTTATCACTAAAAATTAAGATATAAAATGTTTTAAATGATTAAAATATGCGTGAATTGATATTACGGTTATATTAAATTATTATTTTTGATTTAGAATTAAATACACTATTTCCTATTAAATAACGTGTTTGTTTGAAACTAACCTTTGTGCAATATGATTTTGATTAGTCATAATAAAAATGTAAGCCATTTTATCTATTGATCTAAATTTTATTAAATTAAATGTTTAATTTTATAGTTAAATAAATTTATAAAATAATTAGTTCTAAATTAGGAAATTAATTTAACAACTGACTACAAGTTTCATTATAAATAAACATAGAATTAGAAATAATTTTGTAAAATTTTTCACGAATAATTTAACAATTAGTACTAATATCCGTGATTTCATTGGCCAACAAAGTCTGGTATGAATTACTGTTTTTATTGCCGTCGATGTCACGCAAAGCAATAGTAGTATTTAGTCTTAAATCCGGTTTATTTCTCATAAGATCTCGTTTTAATCTAGTATTTAGAATAAGAATAAATCAATTAAACAATTTACTAATCTCAATTAAAATCTTACCTTAAAACATATGCAAACACTATGATTAAAGACACGAACAATATTACCATAAATACTAATATTATTATTAAATACATTTCCATTCTATTGTAACTTGTTAATTTATCAGTATTGTTTTTAGTAAATGTGGTCGAATTCTCAATAGGGTTTTTAGCATAATTGATTGTCAGACACCTATACTCCTGCCTATTGTTTCCACCACTGGGTAAACACAGTTGTGAGCACTTTGAATGGTCGCAGGGATTGATGACTGACCCAAAGTTAATTCGTTGTAATGAATTGACAATTTTAAACGTGTTAAATTTTCCCCAATTAATATTTATGGCCGTACCTAATGCCATAAAATTATAGTAACGTCTTTCATCAAAATATGAAGATTGTATTTTGTAGACCACATGTGCCCTCTCTATACCCAACTGTATGTCCGGCACACGAAGTATAAGCCTTTGGGTAGCGAAATACAGATCATTGCCAAAGACCTGAAGACTGGATACGATTGGGTCGAAGAGTGACTCGGATTTCACAATAAACTTCTCGTTTTTGCCCCAAAAGTCTATGGAATACAGCGAATGGTCGGTCCTATCGATGAAATAGTATTGTTTTGATTCGTAATCTACTGTCAAATGTATGGCGTGTCGGCCCGAGTCATACACTACTGTGCGGTTACTGCCATCCAAATGGGTTTGCATTATATTCACTTCAAAGCCTATGTTAGACCAAACCAGTGAACCGGTCATTAAGTTTAACACCAAATCTCTGGACATATCAGTGTCCGTGTAATGAATAGTGTAAGTTGAATCTGGATCATTGAAACTTAAAACTTTAATCGCCCAGTCCTTAGTGTCCAACCAATACAGTAAGTCATGGATCCAATCGACGGCCAAACTGTTGGGCTCTCCATCGCCCACATCTATCCTAAGCCTATTATTGCGAAACTTTGTTATGAATTGCCTTTTCTTGTGGTCAAACCACACAACCCTTTCGCCGACTAAATCGCAATCCATTAGACTTAACATTTGGTTGCTATTCATTGTCATTAGTTTAATCTCATTTGAATTAGATTTTACTTTTAGTATTGCACTTTCAGTTGCGATAATAGCGGTTATCCCTGGATCTGATTTCGTATTTTATTCAACCAATATATAAAAGTTACAATTAATACCAAAACTTAATATCATACATGGTTAAAGTAATAAAGCACAAGTAACTAACCGAGTGGTACGGCTTTGTAGGCAATCTTAAATCCTCGGTCAGTGATATAGCCATTCGTATCGAACGATAATTTCACTGTATTTCCAATCGTAAGAAGATTTGATGGTTTCTCTGGACCGCTATATTTATATCTCTTTGTATTGCAGACAACATTTAAATAGTCGTTGTTTTCAGTTTGAAAGTCAATAAATTGTACAATGATTTCGTGATTGTGTGGCACCTCTACTTTCCACTCGCACTTTATGTTATTATAGTATGCTATGGGATACCCGGGGCTATAAATATATCCCTCGGTATCATTCAATACCAGACCACAGCCTATAAAGTATATTTTAATAAATTAGCATGGTAATTAATAAAGCATTGACTTTTAGGTGACAAAAACCAGTCTTAAAGTCACTATAAAAGTTACTTAAAAATGGCTAAAAAGTTACTAAAAAGGTGCTAAAAAGGTGCTAAAAAATTATTTATTTTGCATCAAAATAATACATTCAAAGTTCAATAACGTTCGGGTTTGAATTTAATTGTATCACAAAGTATTTTTGACGTTTTCGGTTACGAAACTCACTGGTCTGTCGTTTAACTACAGTTTATAAGTCGAAAAACGTTTAATGAAATTCCGATTATGACTAAAATCTATGACTTAAAAATTTTAATATCACATTATATATGTTTTAATTTTTGACTCATTGAGTATTTTGTGATTTATCAATTAATAACGTATAAAATTTGCAAAATAGGCCAAAAGTTACTTAAAAGTTACTAAAGGTGCTAACGTCTCAAAAGGTGCTAAAAAGGTGAAATAAAAATCTTCCAAAATACTCCTAAGGTAGTATATGGTGTGCCCCCAAACTTTCAGGAGGTTCTCCGCTTTCGGAACAAAAAGTTATTTAACTTCAAATCAATGCTTTAGTAATTAAACACTTAAGTTTTCGTACCATAATTAACGGCCCGATACTCAACAATAATATCAGGATGAGTTTTACTTTTTAGATTATAATGAGAAACAAGCTCAAATAACAGGTGATTAGTCGATGATACTATATTCGTGTCTTTAGCAAGATAAGAGTCAAAGGCAGTGACCAATCGCTTATCCAATTTTGAATGACCGTCGTATACATTAATATCAACGTATCCTACATTAGCGTTATTGAATTTGAACATGATGCTCATATTTGTCGCCACTGTTATATACCAATAACAGGGAAGTGTATCAGATTTATGCGAAATTATGTTACCGGTATTGCTAGTTAGCTTTTTTATGCATTCTCCAGCTATATTAAATGAGCATAATTCAATTAAAACTAAAATTATTGAATATAATTTAATTATACTATTATTTTGCGTTGAATATTGCATTAAAATACGTCCCGGATCGTAACTTAAAAAGCCTTGGTGCAAAATAATTTTGACAAACATTGTGTTTCCAGACGAGAAAAACTCGA